TGCCCTCTGCTCACCCCCCCCCCCCCCCAAAAAAAAAAGAGCAGAGACAAAGTCTCTATGAAAACCGAGAGAAGTAGAGCACAACTGGGAGTATCCCCCTTTCTGCCTCGTAGCTAGCTGCTTGACTCACTTGAAGGTGAATGATGTTCTCTTTGGGCACGTTAGTGAAAGCTGAAAGCTTCCTCCTGTCAAGGGAAAAATAGTCATAGATCACTGCCTTTAAATGAGCTCTCCCTCCCCTCCTTCGTTTTGGCAGTAAAATGTTAATGTTATTACCTCCAAGTGATAAAGAAGAGCGGGAAAACTTTCTTTCAGATTCACTGTTCAGAGTATTTTTTACCTTGTAGCTCTCCCTTCACATCGTCACTCTATCAATTTCCTCTTCCCACATGTGGTTATCGGTGGTTTGCAATAAATGAGACTGCTTACATACATCCAAGTCTTCAGATCTTTGTCTTGTTTTTCTGTTTAGCGTTTTCAAGGAGATGATATAGTGCTTAGTCCTTGATGTCCACATAGTTTTCATGTGGTTAAACCACTGACAGGTTTTGCTTTACTTCTGGATTCAGATCCACTTTATTAGTAATCTACATATCTGTAGCAGACCAGAAGCAAGTATTCTTAATGCTATTAACAATTACAAAAATGAATTTTCAAGCTCAGTTGGCATGACAGTGGAAAGTGAACTACTTAGCAGGGGAGAAGTTTCATTAAAGCATTAGTTAGTGCAAGCTGTTTCGATTTTGTTGGTTTTATAAAGTTTTTTCTGCTTATGTTGGTGTTAAATAAGAAATAAAGATGGCCTGCCAATTAATGAAACAAATTCCCTGTATAGCGCTGGGCAGCAGACTGGTTTTTTTTGTTTGTTTGTTTGCTTGTTTTTTTTGTAGCTGAGCACCAAGCCTGTTCGTTCTTACAAGAAATACAGAAAACAACTTGTGCTCTTTGCTACTTGCAAGTCATTCTATTTCCTTCAGGCTTCTTCAGCTGAAATAAAACACTTGTTTTCATACTATTATTCCCTCTTGATTCTTGCACATATTGATAGCTTCTTCGAAGCAATGATATAAATTGGGTATTTTAAATTATAAACTGGATACTCATAGATTAATCACAGCATTTGTGGAATGTTCTTAAGTGTCTCTTCCTATGGGCCTTGCCTTGCTGGCTCAGCTGCATTGCATATCGTGAATAGCATTGCAGAAATCAGAATGAGGGCTTTCAGTTCCTTTTTGTGGGGAGAACTGCAATAGCAGTTTCCTCTAGTAGGTAATTCCTGATATTATGATTTTTAATTTTGTAAAACAGTTATAGGAAATGAAACCACAACAGTGAAGAATGCAAAACAAGGTATTGCATAGTCCAATAGAAGATTTTGCCAAGAGAAAGCTTTTCAGGCATATGCTGCATGACATAGTATCGTTCTGCCTGATTTGATTGTATCCTAAAATAGTTGTGTAAGACTTTCTCAGATTTAGTTTTCACCTTGAAATATGGCTGTCTTGTGAGTGCTGTTCTGTTCTTTTTGTTTCTTCTTATACACTGATTGATGTTTTCCCCTCATAGGGTTATTTTTAGTATTCTGAAGCTGGCACAGTTGGAAATTGTACTGAAGAATGTTAATTTTCAAAAGTACTGAAATTTTGCAATATAATGAAGCTTGAGCTTATCGGATTATAAAGAGAAATGTAGTTCTCTGCTCTGGCTATTTTTAAAGTTTTCTATGCCTACCTTTTCAGGCGGGACACGTGGCAGGAGAACACTTCAAGCTCTGACAAAGGCAGCTTAAATTTTTGAGTGGAAGCAGAAGGTTTTTTGGAAAACTTTGTAGAAGAGACCTAATACTCATTCTTTTTTTCTATGTTCCTTAACAAAGTGCAGTAAGTCACAGCACTGTATTGATGTATTGTGGCCCTGAAGGGTTCACAGGATAGAATACTTGACCCAAATTCTTGGATGAAGGAGAGAGCTTGGAATAAAAAAATAAAATTTCCTGGGGAAAAGCAGATAAATAGTTTCAATGTTGAATGGGAGCATAACACTGAGGTGGAGGCAAAACCAAAGTAGTAGCGCTGAGGGGAGATATAAAGGTTTATCTAGGCTTGGAAAAAAGCGGGGTGGAGATTGGGGTCGAAACAAAGACATTTAAAGGGAAGTGGTGAGAAAGGGATATTGCTATGGGTATAGTATATACTACCTAAAAGAAAGTCTGAAAGGAAAGCTAACCTTAAAGCTAGACTGCACGTTTTTCCCCTCTAGGTTACAAAATGAAGCTGTGGTTTTAATTTCTTTTTGTTTTCTTTTCTGTCCTGTTCTTAAATAAACAGGAGAATCAAGAGTGGATAGAAGGGAGCATTAAAATGCCAGCTGGAAGTGGCACTGCTGTGTGTTTGGCTAAGGCTTCACAATAAGTTAACAGCGCTTTTGGAAGACCCGAAGTCACTCATCCCGTAGCTACATGCATTTTTCTCAGCGCTAACCTTAACATCACTGGGTAACAAGTTGAATTGGAGAAATGATCACAGCTAAAGTGACTTGGCAAAGAAATCAATGATTAGTTCTTAAACCAGACGACTTTCCAGATTCATTTCACTGTGTGAACATTTGTGGTCTCGCATGCAAAGGGTTGGCTTGGGGGGCATAAGCAGCTGATGGGAGAAGGCAGACTACTTTTATGTCAGTGCCAGTTTATATCATTTTAAAGTGATGTAAAATTACAGTCCTGGCAAAGGAACGCTTGTCACCCCATATTTTCATTGTAACTCTGAAAGGTGTTTAGTGGGTTTCATTCAGATCTTAATGATAAACATACAGTCAGTTCTGTAATCACCTGGAAGGAGCTGGTTATTGTCTGCTTAGTAAATACCTAATTACAGATGATGGTAAATATATGTTGTTTATACTGCAGTTTGCTAACGGGCCTCTCTTAGCTATTTCTGAAGGTATTGTAAATACCCCGAGCCCCTAAGCCTAATACACCGAGCCCCCTTTTTCCTCTTTCAGCAGATCCAGGTCATTTGTGAATGTTTGCAGCTGAGTCCTTTTTAACCTTAAGATTTTGGGTTTGTTTATGCCCAGTTTACTTTTATAGCAGGATGTTTTTAAAGAAAAAGTGTTGACTTGTTTATTTGCATTTCTTTTCTCTTGGCTCTTGTTCTTGTTGACTTTTGTTATGTTCAGGCTAAACGACACTTTTTTACAGTAAAGATTAAGGACTGTATATATGTTTTGAATTGACACCTCCAAGAATAAGATAAGTCAATAAACTTTGCTGTTGTCCTGTAACGTTTGCTATACCAGCAGTTGATTTTTTTATGAACGCTATGAATGCAAGATGCTCATGGTATATATTAGAAGGGTTAATAATGTCAGCAAGCTACCTGCCTGAAGCATGTCTGCAGGTTTAGTCAGAAAACAGCAGTACTTTGTAGGGCTAATGCAACTTATTTAGGCGGGTGTTTTTTTTAATGCACAATCTATTGAGTTAATAGAATTTACACCTGCTTTGCAGTCATGCATTTCACGACTGCTACCTTTACCTAGTCTTTTCAAAGTTGTGAATCTGGTATCAATTTTGGACCATCTCTTTTTGTCAAATGTGCTAGTCCTGAAGGCACGGCTGAGGTAGTGGCTTCAGGCCTGTGAAGGTGACTGTGCACAGACTTGCCAAGAAACGTCTGGAAGTTTGATAGAATTGTTCTACAGGCCATCTGATGAATGCACCACCCACTGGGATTGCTCTGCTGTAAAATAAACTTAACAAAAAAGCTGGAAATGGTGATGTTCTGCTTTATGAGGGCTTCATTTCAAGAAGTTAGATTCTCAGACTCAGTGCTTAAAAGTTATTTATAAATTAAATGTGGCCATTAACAACATAAAGTGACTGAGAACTCCTGTTTCTTCCTGATCTTTCTTGTTACCAAAGTCATGAGCAGTGTTAATACCAGAAAACGTTATGGTCATGCAATAGAGAAAGTATATTAAAGATTTAGAAAACAGTTGCTTATGAGCAGTGTGCAACTTGAATATTGAAGCCTTTTTAAACTTTAGCTTTCCTATCAAAACCATAAAATGAAAAGTAAAGTAATTTTGACATGTCTAAGGCAGCGTATGTTTTTGTTCACGACACTTTTTCCCTTATTGCTATTTACCTCACTTCACACAGTTCCTATAACGCAACGGGGTTTGCCCTGCTACTGTTTAAGGTGCTGTTGTCAAGAGGATGGAAGTAGGGTCCCTCACAGTGTAAGTTACAGTGACAGTTCCATCTCTTCTTTGCTATGTGCTTTTCTAATGTTATGTAAACAGTAACCTTTTTAGCTAGAAGAAAACTAAAATGTTTTTCACTGAATTTCATATGCAGTACCTAAGCTGGAGTTTGTGCTGCTCAGCACATGTTATGTTGCATGTTTCCTATGCAGAAAGCTTACAGCAAGCACTTTCTTTGGTAAAACTATAATATCTATGGATTTGGGGCTCTTTGAGGGAGGATGGAGAAGGACTTTTTCACAGGAGCTTTTTGTCCTCATCTAGGTAGATGGGTTGATGAATTGATGGATTCCTTCTGTAAGTTTTAGCATTTGCCTGAGGTGTCTCCTCTTAATTTTGTGCTGTTGACTTGGTGTGACCTAAGACACTTTTCTATGGTTCAATTTGACTATCTGTAAAATGAAATTGAGAATTTCAACTTGTAGAAGATGTAATGCCAGGTAAGATAGAGAATATATTGAGTCTCTGTAAAATGAAATTGAGAATTTCAACTATTCAAAAATTCAACCTACCACAGATGTATAAATCTGATCTCATTTTTGTAGCCTGGTAGTGCGTTGTTGCCCTTGTGAAACAAGCCCTATTTCATCCATGTGCTTGAAGGTTTTCTATTGCCCTTCCCTTCCTCATTGGGGTATCATAATTTATTCTTTCTGATCTTTGAATCACTCTCCTGAATCTGACTGCACTGTTCTTAGACGTGACTGTCCTTGCTTTGTAAGCGCTATCTTATCTTCTGCTAACAAAGAAGGCTACAGCAGTGACAGTTGTCCACTGCAGCCTCTCACAGTCCCATTGTCACTATAAACAGTAACACTAATTCATGTATTTGCAGATTGCTGGGGATAACTTTGTTCTTCTGATGTGAGGGAAAAAAAAAAAAGCTTTTTGTAGAGAAGATTGAGAATTATAGCAGAAGTACTTGATATATGTTGAAGATGATGACTTTCTTACGTGTGAACTCATCTTTAGAGTGAATTAGTTCAAAATTTTTAACCCACGTCACTTCTGTTACAATTCTACAGTTGCTCTATTCTGCATGTTTATCTGGTGTTGCTACCTAAATATTAACTGTCATTCCTCTGATAAGCAGAAGTTCATTATGTCAAATTGGCTACTGCTAAACCTGTTCAATCACAGTTATGTTATATAGCAGGAATTTTAATTTGTTCACTGAGGTTCTTATGTGACTATCCCTTCCTGGAGGCGTAATTGTCTTAGGAGTTGAGTCCTTCCTCCAGTTGTATGATGTGCAGACCTGGAATAGTACTCACACTTTAAATGATGGATTTTGTCTCCTGGGTTCTTGTGATTCATTCCTGGATGGCTTCCAGCAGCCTCTTCAGAACACCCTTTCCAGAGTGATACACATACTATATGGCCTCACTAATGACTTTTGCTTCTCCTTTGCTCCTCCTCTGTTCTCTGGCAAAAGGCTTTCCCCTTCCTTATTACCATCTTCTTACTGTTGGTGCAGAAGCCGCCTCCTGGGCTACCTCCATACCTGAAATTGTTCCCTTAAATCTTTTCTGCTACAGAAGTGGGTTGCAAATAGGTCTCCAAGACATGAGAACACGTTCTTTGTGCTGGAAAGTTGATTCAGGCTTTGTAGAGAATAATGTGTTCTCTTGTTTACGTGGAATAGTTTTTGTAAAGTAAAAGAGGAGTTGCATGCCATAGTGACCGTCTTCAGTCCATGCAAAGCACAGCCTCTGGGGTGATCATACTTGTACATTGCTCTTATTTTACTATTTGCTTCAATCTGAACCAAGTTTAGGCTACCGTAACATTAAAAATGCTTGGAGTCTAATATTTTCTATCCTACCCCTTGCTGACAAAGTGCATTTGTCGTCTTACCTGTTCTCTTTCTTCCTGCATCCTTTCTTCTATCTGATGCCCTTTACATGAAAGCAACTCTCTTTGTCACACTGTTTCAGGCAAGAGCACTTTTCTCTGTTTTGGGAGGACGTTGGACGCTTTTATGAGTGGCAAAAAATCCTAGAATGAGCCCAAGTGCTAGACTACAGTTTGAATCTTGCACTTTGCAATTTGAATCTCAGAGGCCACTGCAGTTCCCTTATCTATACTTTCAGGTGAAAAGAGTTTTAGTTTGCACCACTTTACTGGGATTTTGTGAACAACAATCTTGAATTCTAGAGCTCATTTAAGAGCAACAGTCCATCAGCTTTTTTCGCTCTGCAGACAGCAGGTATGACAGGCTTCTTGGCTTCGGACACACCTCTAGCTGTTGAGAGTTTTTCTGGAGTTCTGAGTATCTGCTCCTTTTCTGATATGGGGAAACATTATAGTAGCTGTCCAAAACAGCCCTTCTATGTTTTTTTTTCTTTCATAACATTTTATCTGCTTCAGAATAGTCAGTGTTTTCTTCTAGGTATTTGCCTAATAGATTTTTTTTTTAAAACAACTTTTTTCTCAGTGAATAACGTGGGCTGTAACTTCCCGTTGGCTTTCATAATAAAAATCATGTGTTGTTATCTTTGTCCAAGTGCAAATGTTAGAATAAACCTTTCCATTTCAGAACTTAGACGAGATGTTTATAAAGGAACTTTTGCTGAAATACCCATTGACTTTAAAGGTTTAAAGCCCATTTGCAGAAAACTCATTGTAGGGTCTGTGACTTGAAACGCCTTGCAGGTAGATGCATGAAGACACCTTGCATGAAGATGTAAAGGTGGACGTTAGTGAGATACTTCGTAGTAACGTGGCTAGAAGATACCAGGAGCTAGCAAACAGGATCTAGCGTGTCTCTCAAACCTTCACATGATTTTTTTCTCAAGTCTTGCGATTTTGTGTGCCCGCTCT